AAAAAAAAAAAAAAAAAAAAAAGAAAGAAAAGAAAAGTGTCTGTTTATATCCTTCACCCTCTTTTGAATGGGTTTGCTTTTTCCTTGTAAATCTATTTTAGTTCTTTGTAGATTCTGGATATTAGCCATTTGTCAGATAGGTAGATTGCAAAAATTTTGTCCCATTCAGTTGGTTGCCGGTTCACACTAATGATTGTTACTTTTGCTGTGCAAAAGCTCTTTAGTTTAACTAGATCCCATTTGTCCATTTTGGCTTTTTTTTTTGCCAATGCTTTTGATGTTTTAGTCATGAAGTCCTTGCCTATGCCTATGTTCTGAATGGTTTTGCCTAGGTTTTCTTCTAGGGTTTTTATGGTATTAGGTCTTATGTTTAAGTCTTTAATCCATCTGGAGTTAATTTTAGTGTAAGGTGTCAGGAAGGGATCCAGTCTCTGCTTTCTGCACGTGACTAGCCAATTTTCCCAACACCATTTATTAAACAGGGAATCATTTCCCCATTGCTTGTTTTTGTCCAGTTTGTCAAAGATCAGATGGTTGTAGATGTGTGGCGTTGCTTCTGAGGCCTCTGCTCTGTTCCATTGGTTGATATCTCTGTTTTGGTACCAGTACCATGCTGTTTTGATTACTGTTGCCTTGTAGTATAGTTTGAAGTCAGGTAGCATGATTCCTCCAGCTTTGTTTTTTTTTTTGCTTAGAATTAACTTGGTTATGCAGGCTCTTTTTGGTTCCATATGAAGTTTAAGGTGGTTTCCAGTTCTGTGAAGAGGGTCATAGGTAGCTTGATGGGGACAGCATTGAATCTATAGATTACTTTCAGCAGTATGGCCATTTTCACAATATTGATTCATCCTAACCATGAGCATGGAATGTTTTTCCATCTGTTTGTGTCCTCTCTTATTTCCTTGAGCAGTGGTTTGTAGTTCTCTTTGAAGAAATCCTTCACATCCTTTGTTAGTTGTATTCCTAGGTATTTTATTCTCTTTGTAGCAATTGTGAATAGAAGTTTGCTCTTGATTTGGCTCTTTATTGTCTGTTATTGGTGTATAGGAATGTTTGTAATTTCTGCATATTGATTTTGTATCCTGAGACTTTGCTGAAATTACTTATCAGCTTAAGGAAATTTTGGGCTGAGACAATGGGGTCTTCTATATATATAATCACGTTGTCTGCAAATAGAGACAATTTGACTTTCTTCTTTCCTAACTGAATATGCGTTATTTCTTTTTCTTGCCTGACTGCTCTGGCTAGAACTTCCAATACTATATTGAATAGGAGTGGTGAGAGAGGGCATCCTTGCCTAGTGCCAGATTTCAAAGGGAATGCTTCCATTTTTTGCTAATTCAGTATGATATCGGCTGTGGGTTTGTCATAAATAGCTCTTATTATTTTGCAATAGGTCCCACTGATGGCTAGTTTATTGAGAGTTTTTAGCGTAAAGGGCTGTTGATTTTTGTCAAAGGCCTTCTCTGCATCTATTGAAAAAATCATGTGGTTTTTGTCTTTGGTTTTGTTTATGTGTGGATTACATTTATAGGCTCTCGTATGTTGACCATGACTTGCATCTCTGGGATGAAGCCTACTTGATCATGATGGATAAGTTTTTTGATGTGCTGTTGCAATTGGTTTGCCATTATTTTATTGAAGATTTCTACATCTATATTCATCATGGATATTGACCTGATGTTTTCTTTTTTTGTTGAGTCTCTGCTGGGTTTTGGTATCAGGATGATGTTGGTCTCATGAGATAATTTTGGGAAGAATTCCTTCTTTTTGTATTGTTTGGAATAGTTTTGGAAGGAGTGATACCAGCTCCTCTTTGTATGTTTGTTAGAATTCAGCTGTGAACCCATCTGGACCTGGACTTTTTTTGGTTGGTAGGATATTAATTTCTGCCTCAACTTCAGCCCTTGTTGTTGGTCCATTCAGGGTTTCAATTTCTTTCTGGTTTAGGCTTGGGAGGGTACAAGTGTCCAGGAATTTACCCATTTCTTCCAGGTTTACTGGTTTATGGGCATAGAGTTGTTTATACCATCTCTGATGGTAATTTGTATTTTTGTGGAATTGGTGGTGATATCCCCCTTACCATTTTTTATTGCATCTATTTGATTCTTTTTTTTTTATTAATCTGGCTAGTTGTCTATTTTGTTGATCTTTTCAAAAAACTAGCTCCTGGATTTATTAATTTTTTGAAGAGTTTTTTGTGTCTCTATTTTCTTCAGTTCTGTTCTGATCTTAGTTATTTCTTGTCCTCTGCTAGCTTTTGAGTTTTCTTGATCTTGGTCCTCTAGCTCTTTCAATTTTGATGATAGGGTGTCAATTTTAGATTTTTCCTCACTTCTCTGGTGGGCATTTATTGCTATAAATTTCCTTCTAGACACTGCTTTAAATGTGTCCCAGATATTCTGGCACATTGTATCTTCATTCTCATTGGTTTCAAAGAACATCTTTATTTTTCCCTTCATTTCATTGTTTATCCAGTCGACATTCAGGAACCAGTTGTTCAGTTTCCATCAAGTTGTGCGGTTCTGAGTTAGTTTCTTAACCTTGAGTTCTAATTTGATTGCAGTGTGGTCTGAAAGACTGTTGTGATTTCCATTCTTTTGCATTTGCTAAGGAGTGATTTACTCCAATTA